TATTTCGATATTACTAGGCCATTGGCGTAAAAGTTCAAACTAAAAATAGATTTAATTAAATTCCAAGCAATTAAACTGTGTTTAACCACTGTCGCATTGAATAGCGCGAACTTTCCATTACTTGCAGGCCATTTCGCGTATTGATTTTGGAAAAAGCCTGCGAGTAATACATTTTATCGAATTTAATAAAAATCATCAGGAATYGGGACCTGAACTGGGGTTTTTCGATATCGAGCAGAACTGCAMATTTTGAGCAGGTTTGTTGTGCGATTAGCTCCAACTTATCAACRTGCTCTATTCGAAAGTTTGCTTTTCAGCTCAGCTCGTCTACTTCAAACAAACTGCTTACGGCTACTTTTCTACTATTTCACTAGAATGTGTCGTTACATGCAATATAGCCAAACGGGGAAACGAAATATGCAATTACGAAGACCCAATTAGTCCCATGCACTGTAGGAAGTTAAACACTTTCAATTTAAGCTCGCGAAACACATTTAAGTTCATTTATTAGGTAGGAACGCATTAATTTTACCTTGTATTGCTGCAGTTTCCATGTTGAAGAGCGGAAAGGCAATGAATTATTATTTAGATGGAGGTTGTTAATGGGTGCTTAGTCCACTAGTTTATACATAAAGTCAACGCACATAGTAAACAGTTGGTTAAGTTTCAATGGGGCATTTGCTTAACGAAAGAGGTAAAAACAGGAAAATGTTAAATCAATCCGGCTGAAAAGCTTTGCTCCATCCCTAACAGGAAAGGTGCATTCAGCATTATTAATAATTCTATTCAAATCATTGTTTGCCAATAAGCTTTGAGTTAATAATAAATGTAATATTTTATATACTGAAAAAGGTTCCAGGTCCATAACGTACCATTGCAAACACTCATAATAAATATTATGTTTGCAAAGCTTTAGTTAGTTTAGTAATTATAACTCGTATTTAATCCCAACTGTTGACCATGTTGCTTTCGTCAATAAACAGGGCGAGAAATTAATTAAATTTTCCACCAGCCCTGTATATTTCCGTTATATACAATCCAACACAATCTGCACGTTTGCAACGCAATTGAACTGGTGAAATTTCAATAATTTTCCATTAATTTGAACCGTTTCTTGCGTTTAAGGCGCAAATGCTGTGTAATTCAACAATGTGATTCCAGCCATTCCATTCAGGAATCTATTTGCGTTCTTGATTATTCTTAATTAGAAATTTCATAGTTCTCTAATTGAAGATTATGATGGAGCGCGCAATTCAACGTTTGGAAATTCTGGAAAATTCGTGAAATTAGAGCATCCATTGCAGATTGTGTTAGATGAACGCTCTGGTGAATAATGTTCAACATAGTAAAAGCGACAAAATAAAATGTAAGCAGGCGAGAAAAAGCGTTTGATATTTGCGTGAAAAGGGCATTTGTGTAGGCGATTGGTGTCCAAATGTTTTTTTATTGGTTTTAGTTGACTAAAGACACTAAGGAATCGAAAGCGTTAGTGAAACAGGCAAAAAGCTGCGCCTCTGATAAGTAAATAAATATTACTAAAAGTGTCTCGTGTGGAAGCAATCGGTTATTTTTAGCACAAATGGATTCTCCATTAGAGCTGGAACATTAATCTAGCCATATCGATTAATTCGCTTTACTTTACAACCTAACCATTCATTTAGCATAAAGCAGGCGACTGACAAAATTAGGCTCGTTTATAAGCAAATTAGAACAGAAATCGTTACTTTTAATGGCACACCATTCTAGCGCTGTCTAATTAAAACGTTAGGTCAGTTTACAAATTATAAACTATTCTAGAATAGCAACGCTGGTTTACCATAAAAAAATAACAACTTTAGATCGGAAAGAAACCAGTCATGGAGTTTGAATCAAGTCGTTTATATTCAGCGCAAACCGTATGGAGAGTGTGTGGAAATATTTGGCTTATATCCTTTCAATTGGAACCGAATTTATATTCATAGGTACTTATAGGTTTTAGCGCCGATAATTTCCAGAAATAGTGTTTAGGAACACTCGTACTGGGTTAGCCATTTTATGCTTGGGAAAGTAAAGTAAAAAAAGCACAGAAAATGTTCAGAGAGACGAAAATTTTAATTCAATATAAAGATTAAGCGAAAGAACGAATGTTGCGATGATGCACAGGCCTTACAGTATCAGTAACCGATCCAGTCTCTTCAAATGTTCCCACTGTGTTCGAAATTTTGTGCTCTGTGGGTCGATCATGTCGACCGTGATCAGCTCGTAAAGCTCTAAACGTTGATACAGAAGCATCACCATTTTTATAGTAACATTTAGTAATTTTTACGCGTTCTTCGACAGTTAAAACCTTCAACTTAAACAGAAATTCACAGAGCTAACCGATGGTGGAAATATTTGCCCCACGTACTCCATCCAATGAAAACAGTTGTAGCGGTGCGTTGTCAGGGAGACGAAGTTGGGAGAAGTGTATTCGCACCATGAGTGCTTTGTGATTCAACAGTGGATATAATCGACTGGATTCAAAGTTCACGGGTTTTCGCATTCCCGATCGGAAGTGCCCCAAATTCCCCATCGTTTCTGCTGCGATCGATATTAATCCAAGCGTCAAATAAATACTCTAGGAAAGTAAAAAAATGTGGACATACATCATCGAATCTTATACGGGGATCGTAAGGGTAATACGCATTTGGGCGTGAAAACCTTGAAATCATCTTCGGAGTTTCGTCCCAAATATTTTCCATTCTCTGAACGTTCCCTACGTTGCATATGTAGTCCATGTTTTCCTGTATGTACAAATTAGTGAGAGAAGGTTAGACCAATTAGAAGCGACTTCTGGTATAAGAGTTATCAACCCCATTTTTAAACAGTTATATTCAGATGCAACTGGTCTAACCTTTGCGAGTGCTAGAAGAGAAAGCAACCACTCTCTATAAGCCTACCTGGCGAGATTTATGTCGGCTGTTAAGGGGGCACAAAAACGGAACCAATGAAAAATTGCCGAATTCATAAATAATTTATAGGTAAATAGCTTCAGGGTTACGCGTTCGTATGTCTCGGCCCGATAGCGCTTCTCTATGGCTTACATAAAATGAATTCAAATAATGGATATATCCAGCTTTATTATCCGTTTTTCCTGGCTTTATGATTGAGGTGGAAATTTATGGCGCGAGCGTGAGTTGTCTGGAAATAGTCGATCGGAATTGCCGAATAGCGCCCATCTATCGGGATAACGATAATCCGTCATTGTTTGTTTCAATAAAGCGCCCGATTTTTTACATCCGATAGTTGATAGGAAAAACCCAGGGTTTTGCGCTGGGCGCCTTAAAAAACACACCCGAGGTGCAAAGAGTCCTCGACTATTCCGCGCATTATTGCGGCCCAAAAATACCCTGGTATTGCTATGGTAACCACTTTGGAGGACTTTCTTTGCACCATCGTTAATCAGTTTTTCGCAGTTGTTTAAATTTACAGCATTTCCCTGCAAAACAGCCGACACAAATCCGTATTTCGCGAGTTGTTAAAATAATTGTGAAATCGCAAAGAGTAAGCCAATCCTATTTTGTGAGTTGAGAAGTGCATCTAACTCGGGACATGTGTTTGTGTATGTGAGTTTGTTAAAAACTGCAACAAGTAGTACGTTCGTGTTGGAAAGTGGATATAAGGAAAACAAAAGTTTTGTAAAAACGGCTGCAATAAAGTGGCTGTTACGTGGCTCAAACTTTTGCAATTTTGTGCGCTAAAACTGTGTCTTTGTTAAACGTACTTTTTTGCCGAATTACTTAGAACCTAGAACAATGCTTCTGGGGAAATAGAGGCTAGTGCGGAATGCTGCACTTCGGCAGGAAATAATTTCCAGATGAAAAACGAATTTTGCCCATTCAAATTGCCTTATTTTTAAAAATGTCCTTTGTTTTTTGCAAATTTATCTCGCTTGACTTGCCTCCTGTGTCTACTGGATGGGGCGAAACAAAGAGTTTCATTCTCTAATTCCTTTTTCCGCGAGGATAATCAGTTCCTAACTACATCGAACAATTCGTTGTTTCCGTCTTTGTTGCGAGCAACAAAGCGGCTTGGAACACGCTATTTTTATTTTCATTTTATTTAAGGCTGCAACAAGATGCGTCCGAACAGGAGCTTATGGACAACATTCAGAGAGAACGTCCGTTAAAGTTGGCTCAGTTGCATCGGGATTTTTCAAATTTCCTGTTAAGAGTATGAAAATGTATGAATTGTTCAAAAAGTGCACGCTGCACAGCCTCTATATTCCAGACGCACCGAACAAACTAAGACAAAAATGTATGCTAAAAGGTTATCGAAAACCACTCGATCAAGTCGTGATTAAATCCAACACGTACCTGCAAAAGTTCCTTTATCGTGCTGTCCACAATCATCAAGGGCTTGTGAATAAGATGAATGACGCCATTCTTCACCGGAATGTTGGCTTTAACAATCTCGGCCAAAACGACTCCTTGAGGATGTTTCCCATCGCCGAAGAGCGTATGCGACTTGACATAATCTGGAAAAAGGAACGAGTTGCTGTAAAGGCGGGTGTTTGTTTGCAACAAAGTAATTGAAAATCCCCCGTTAAAAGTGTCCATCCATTCGGCGACAATAAAATAACACTACGGCATATTCGCTCGGAAAATATCCACGATAAATATGATGTCTTTGAACAATGCGTCAACGAAATGGAGGTCTTTTAGAGCGTCGTTTTCCAGTTGAAAAGGTTTCTGAAGTTTTTCCTGTTGGTCGTCGTGTCTGTCGCATTCATTTGTGAAATGGACGGTCCAGTGATAGAGAGACGAGAAATATTGCCGAAACGGCAAGAAGATCGACAGATTATCAATCGGGAAACATCTCGTTATTAATTTATTTTTCCGCAGTTTTAGTCGGAAAAATTTACCGAAAAATCCATCCTTGTCATTTTCAAATGGCGATACAATACGAGGAATTATCCTGGGAAACTTGGAGTGAGCAAACTTGGAAAAATTTACGTTTTTAACTTTATATTAATATTTAATATTCCTTGCTCTATAAAGTGTTTGTGACGTTCTCGAACAAGAAAATCATTTTGCATCAAACTAAACCGAAAAAAATGACAATGAACGCAACACAATTTCGCTTGCAAATTTGCTGATTTTATTGAACCCGTTTTCAATTCGCACATTCAATCTCTTATACACACGAATCGGAAAAATAATCCCGCACATGTTCGACAGACATTTGAATCATTGAAAAGCGACGTCAATTCAATAGCACCGAAATTAAAAACGAATAAATTCCCCCGAAAGCAATATTTGTTTCATCCAGATACATAAACCAAGCGAATTACCTTTGGAGCGCGATTTGGCTGTTGTGTACGCATTTGGCTCAATTATTTCGATTAGAGCAACGGATGGCAGGTTTTAGTGTGCCCGAATTTCCATTCGCGATTAATTGCCAACGAAATCGCTTCTTTCAGTCATCGAGAAGCCACTTTGTTTCAGTCAAACCCGGTCAAATTAACGAAAATGCTCGACAATTAACGGAAATCTGAAGGCGTCAGATCTGGCGATTCTGCCGGCCATCAGGCAAACGATGCTCAAACTTGGTTTATATCGAAGATTTTTATTGATAACACTGAATATTTTACCGACTAAGACTGAGTCGGTAAGCACGGGAGATCACTTCACCCACTGCCTCATCGCGTTTGATAATGTCCACCGCAGTTGTGGGTGAAACGTCAGGACGAAATTCCCATGGGCATTAATT